ATATTTTCCAATGACTGAATGACCACTTGATTTTAAGACCTTAAGAATCACTATTTACATTGTAAGCTCTTGTAATCTATTCAGAACAGCTTTTCTAAGACCTCTGCTGGGAAGTAATTCCTTTAGTACCTTAGTTTGAGATGCTCTCTCGACCTCAAAGCAATAACCCTGATTTCTTCAAAGCGATTCTGTAATTTAGTTGTCTCAGTGACTTAGATTCTCATTACTATGCCTGATGCGTTAATTACAAAGCTGTTATTGTGCTGATATAAAACCTTACAAACCAGGTAGAAGATAATTATTCATTGTGTGATTGTGTGATTTACACAGTAGACATATTTATTAATTTTTGTGATTTTTAAAACATATTTAATCCTTAATTTCTTTTCCTGATTTAGACTTTATTTTTTTACATTTATTTTTCTTTATTTGGGCTTTAAATAATAAAGTATATGTATATACTGGCTTAATCAAAAGTGTATTTGCCACCAGCATTTCCTACACTAGGCTGGAGAAAGCTTTCCTATTTATAAGTTACTCATGCAGTGACAAACCCAAGTTCATATACAAAAGATAAAGAAAAAGGAAAAGAAAAAAAAACCTAAAAAACGAATGGATTTACAATCCTGCCATAAATACCCTATCAAAAATTTTGTCTTCTATTTTCAAATGTGTCATTTGTTCCCCCAAATGAGATTTGAATCTCGACGTTTTAAGTCAGAACAGCCAATGATTCAACAACCACAATAAATCTATCATTTAAAGTGCTTCCTCAATTTGGCTTAAGGCTGTGACCAAGTCAAGAGGGACAGACATGGGGCTTTTGCTGCCAAGTGATGGCTGAGGCCCACTCTGATTTCACATGAACTTGGAGAAGATTCAAAAGTGTAACTTGTTCAATAATTGCTTCTAGCAGCGTTTCCCCTAAGCATCAAGGCTCCGACTCATCAGTACTTTTGCTGTCCAAAGAGATAAAAGCAAAATCCAAATAATCAGACCCGGTAGTATGTACTGAATGTTTGAGTCTCCCCAAAATTCATGTGTTAAATCCTAATCCCCAATGTGATGGTATTAAGAGGCTGGGCCTTTGGGAGGTGATTAGGTCATGAGCAGGGAGCCCTCCTGGATGAGATTAATGCCCTTATTAATCTTGCTCTCTGTCTGTCATGTGAGGATGTAAGGAGAAGACTGCCATCTGAAACCGAGAAGAAGCCCCTTATCAGAACTTGACCAAGCTGGCACCCTGATCTTGGATGACCACACCCAGAGCTGTGAGAAATACATTCCTGTTGTTTATAAGCCATCTGGTTTATGGTATTGTGTTATAAAAGCTCAAACTAAGATACTTGGGAGGGACTGCAACACTATGGACCCTCTTCATAAACACGTTTCCTCTTCTTAACTCTATTTTTACATCTAAAAGTTTTCTTATTCATAAAAGAGATGTTACAAATACTTATAACAAAGTGGAGGGTCAGTAGTCCTGAAATGGATAGAAGTAACACTGATGAACATGATACACTGTTAGAGTAAATCGTTTTCCTCTTTCTACTTAAAACATAATGCCAGTTTGAAAAAAACCCAAACAAACAAACAAACAAACAAAAAAACGTAATCCCAAATTCTCATTGGATACAGGCCTGCCAAAAGAAAAAAAAAATCCATATTCCCCAATCTCCCTTGCATTTCAGTTTGGTCAGCTAACTAATTTCTGCCCAATAAGGCCTAAAGGAAATAACCGTATGGAACTTCTGAGACGTTCCTAAGAAGAGGAAGAAGTGTACCCTGATTTCTACCTGCCTCCTTCCTGTCACTGGGAGATGACATTGAGGAGCTAAAGCCATGGCAACCATCTTGGTTCAGGATGTGAAGACAGTAAAGCAAGATAAAAGAGGTCTGTGTTTTGGACAACTGTGGATTCCAGATAGTCCCAACTGCCTACATTGAGAGACATCAACCAGCCAACGAATCACCCAACCAAAAGGCTTCTGTCTTTCTTAGTCACTGTTACTTTCAACATCTTATTTGTAAAATATCCTTATTCTTACCAATTAGTATATCTGCAAATATCAGACATTATGCTAAATGCTAGCTGTATAGTAACTATGCAACATAGGAATTATTATCTCTTTTGTGAGTGAGGAAATTAAGATTCAAAGGTGTTACATAATAGATCTAATGACACCAAGGTAGTAAGGAGCTGAGTCAGAAGTCCCAGATCAGATTCTGTAATTTATACTCTCTTTTCCTGTATTACCCCATTACTCTATAATGTGGGAGTAAATCCCTCTTTGTGTGCCTCTTGCTAAAACTCTTAATCTTCTTATCCTCTTCTGAAATTAAGATTAAAAATCTCTGCCTACTATAGGCACTACTTCAAGGACAAGTGGGTTTATTATTGTGTAAAACATTGAAATCCTTGGGACTTAACTACTATTTAATTTACGTACACAGTTAAAACTATTTAAAACTTTTTTAACACGAAAAGTCAGCAGTTACATGAGAAGACTTAACTTCCAGTACAGACACAATTAACTAATTTGTGCCACAAGCCTTTACTTGTTTCAACTGGTTTACAAAATTAAACTCCAAATCACTAATTAACTTCCTATTCCAGAAATCTATTCTGTGAGGCCCAGCATTTATCTGGATTGTGTTTAATCACTCAGTTCACAATTTTGCCTTGTCATCCTGCTGTGGCTCCTTTTTAATGGAAGTGTCTCCCATTAAATACTGGAGGAATTGCAGATTGTATTATCATACCAACTCACAAAAATACCTTGGTGTCTTGGTAATATAAAAGCAGTTCAACTTGGTTGTCAGCAATAAGATTTTGTAATTAAAAAAAAAATTAATCCATATTTTTTTGACCTAATGTTTTATTGTTTGTTTTCCCTCATCTCCAAAAGAGTAATCTGGATTCCATGACTTCAAAGGCTGAGATGGCCTCTAAAATTCTGGGCTCCTTATACAAAATGTGACATTGAAAATACTTAGTGGTTATATCTAGAGTCAGGGATTAAAATCGGCTTATGTGACTTTAGGCAAATTGTATTATCTAAGTTTTATTTTCCCCATTAGTAAAATGGAGATGATAATATGATCTATACATCACAGAGTTGCAGAGATGTTTAAAAAAGATAATGCACACAGAGCTCTATATTAGTTTCCTCTTGCCTTTTTTTTTTAATTTATTAATTTACTTTTGAGAGAGAGAGCCAGCATGAGCAGGGGAGGAACACAGAGACAGGGAGAGACAGAGAATTCCAAGCAGGCTCCACACTGACTGTGCACAGCCTGATGTGGGGCTCAAACCCATGAACTGCAAAATCATGACTTAAGCCAAAACCAAGAGTTGGACGCTTAACTGACTGAGCCACCCAGGTGCCCTAATTTCCTCTTGCTTCTATAATAAATTACTACAAATTTAGTAATTTGGCTTAAACAGCACAAATTTATTACAATATAGCTTTGGAAGTCAGAGGTCCAGTATGGGTCTTGCTGGGCCAAAATCAAGGTATTATCAGGGCTGCGTTCCTTGGGAAGGTTGAGAATTACTAAACGCTCCTTCATGTTGTTGACAGAATTCAGTTTGTTGTGGCTATGGGACTAAGGTCCCTGTTTTCTTACTGGCTGTCAACTGAGGGCTGTTCCCATCTTAGAGAGTACGGCAAATTTATTTGCTTATGGCTCCCTTCCACCATCTTCCAAACCAAAAATACCAACTGAAGTCCCTCTGAAGTGTGAAATCTCTCCTGCCTTTGATTATCATATGTTTCTGACAAACTCTTTTGCCTTCCTCTTCCTCTTACAAGTATTCAGGTGATTACTTTGAACCTACACACATAACCCAGGATAAACTTCAAATTTTAAAGTCATCTGCTTACCAACCTTTATTCTATCTTCAACTTTAATTACCTTTGGTCATCTATGTAACACAATCAAAGGTTTACAGGAAAAGGACACGGACATTTTTGGGGTCAATATTCTACCTATCACAAGCTCTGAGCATAATACTGGCATGCAGTTAAGTACTCAATAAATAATAAGAATAGCCAATACTTACACTTACTCACTGACAGGTAATGACCTAAGTGCTGTATAGATATTTATGTATTTCATCTAGCTAACAAGCCTCATAACATACTAATTATCATCTTCATTAAAAATGAGAAAATGAGACACCAATGGAAAGCTTTACACTGAGGAAGTAAAAGGCTGAATGAAGATTTGAACCTGGGCAGTCAGTCTGCTCTATAAGTGATACCTTTAAGTCTCATTTTTCCTCTTCATTATTACAATAGTCAGGAAACCAAGCAAGCCTTTGTCTAAACTAAAACCAGGAATGAGAAGTTATTTCAATACAGGGAAATGGCAATATTGGTATTTATTTGGCATATGCTCTCATTATGTCTTCTCTACTTTGTCCTGGGACATTGGCTCATCTGAGTCTAGGACAGACCTTTCATCATTCTACTTTTGAGTCTTACCAGGTGACTGAGGAGAAAATCCTTGATAAAATAAGGTATTCTATGTAGGAAGAAGCTAGATGATATATCCAACCCTTTTCTGATTTCAAAAATTGATTACTATCTTCATGAAAGTATTACAGACTCGGGGCGCCTGGGTGGCTCGGTCGGTTAAGCGTCCGACTTCGCTCAGGTCATGATCTCGCGGTCCGTGAGTTCAAGCTCCGCGTCGGGCTCTGTGCTGACAGTTCAGAGCCTGGAGCCTGTTTAAGATTCTGTGTCTGTCTCTCTCTGACCCTCCCCCGTTCATGCTCTGTCTCTCTCTGTCTCAAAAATAAATAAACGTTAAAAAAAAATTTAAAAATAAAAAAAAGAAAGTATTACAGACTCAAAGTTACCACTGTCTTGGTTCTTCAACACCTCATATTCTACTGAAATGCTGCTGCTTCTCATTTCATACTAAGAATCCACTTTGACATCACTATGGAAAGTAAGAAGAGTACATCACCATTATTTTGGACAATAAAATACCTTTCATTCTCCTGCACGATCACATCTCCTCTCTTCCATGAACGGAGTGCTTTGGGAGAGGCTCTAGGTTTACAATCCAAGCTGACCATGCTGCCCACTTGCACTTGAAGCAACTTCTTCATTGGAGTCTTTGAAAAATCGGGAGCAGAAGCTGAAAGGGAAGAAAGAGAGAATGAAAATTTACTTTTAGTTTAACATTTTAAAATACCTATAGGTTCAAAGGTTGACTTTTGAAAAGTTCATAATGACTTTTATTTATTTTTTAATTTAAATTTTAGTTGGGTTAACATACAGCCTAATATTGGTTACAACTACTTAAAATTTTTCTTTAAGGTGGATTTATTTTTTAGAGAGAGACAGAGTGTGAGCAGGGGAGGGTCAAAGAGAGAGAGAGAGAGAGAGAGAGAGAGAATCCAAAGCAGGCTCCAGGGTCTGAGCTGTCAGCACAGAGCCAGGCAAGGGGCTGGAACTCCCGAATTGCAAGGTCATGGCCTGAGGCGAAGTCAGATGCTCAACCAACTGAGTCACCCAGGCGCATGGGTTATAACTACATTCAAAGTTTCCTGGCACACAGATGTCAGTACTTGATTTACTTAATTGAGTGGGCACCACTCACAGGATTTCAAAGCTCAAAAAGTAATTCCTATCATTGTATGTTCCTAGAAGTTCTAAATCTTGGGATAATTTTTTATGTAGAAATTTCTAAACTTCACCATTAAGTTTTAAAATAGCTCAATCATGAGCGTATCAAAATGAAAAACATTTATCACAGAAAGTTAGTTCCATGCAGACAACAATAGGCTCATTGTCCCTTGTGATCTCCAAGACCCAGCATGTGGCACAGTGCCTGGCACTTAGGTGCTCAGTAAATGTTTTTAGAAGGAAGGCTGAGTATACTGAATTATTATCGTCTTGCATAAAACTGATCAACATCCATTATAAAATTTTCATATGCTTATGTTTAACTTCTGAGTTGGAGAAATCTATAATCTGCATTATTATATTAATGTTCGAGTATCACATTAAATATAACATGTAGAGAACATTATGTCTGCTGATAACGAACAGAATGTTGATCCCGAAACAACACCTGAACATTCAAGATACATAATAATGTATCTTTGAATGAAATGATAGGTTAATCAGAAAATCAGTCTTTTATTGCAAATGTAGAAAAAGTTAACTAAACATAGTGCATTTCTCCTAATGTCTAATACTCTGCCTTATAGCAAACCCGAGTGAATATAATTTATTTTTCTCGTAAGTGGAGATCATATAGTGAATTATATTGTGTGATTCTATATAAGAGTGTGGATAAAGAAGATACGTTACCAAGGGGTTGTTGGCCTTAAAAATTAAGATCTTAAAAGGACACTTTTGACTAAAAGTATTTTTCCCATGCAAAAGCCTCATATAGCATTTTGGGTAGGAAATCATCCATTTTAAGATAATAAACTATCACTCATAAGGCTAATTTAATACAAGAGATAGTAGTGCTTCAACTTAAGACTGTGTACAAATTCTACTCTCTTTTTGTTATAATACCCCACCTTCCCTGTCATGGATAACAGTAGCCAGATTTTCAGCTGATGATCTGCCCTTCCCAGACTTCAGGCCTCCTACGCAGAGAATGCATTTCTAACCACCAGGCATGAAGGATGAGAGAACTGCTTCCAGTAATGTCAGTGCGGCACCTGACATTTTGGGCTGAATAATTATTTGTTGTGAGAGGCTGTCATGCACGCTGTAGGATATTTACATTGTAGGATTATTTGTGGGTAGCCTTTCTGGCCTATACTCACAAGATGCCCGTAACACACACTGGTTCCCTTTTCCCCTATGTATCACCAACACTGTGACAACCAAAAATGTCTCCTGACATTTCCAAAGATTTCCTGGGGGCAAAATCATCCCCAGCTAAGGACTGCTGAGTTAGCAGGTGCTTACAACCTTTGGGCCATATTGGATCGGACCAGCCATGGGTATGTGGCCCAAATCAGGTACACAAGGCCAATGACATGCGGGACTGTGACTTCTATATGAGCAATTCAGAAAGCCATGTATTTTCCACTGTATTGACTGTGCTCCTGGAAACTGAATGTGTTGGGGAACACCATATAGAGCCTGATGATGGTGATGATGCTTGAGTCCTGCCAGGATCAAATTCTGTTCAGATCCAAATCTATATTTTAATTACATGTAGCGATAAATCTCCCTTCTACTTCCTCTCTTATTTATGTCATAACTATGCTACGCCCTGACAATTTTTTGGTTGATTTTCAGGCATTTGCAACTTACAAAGTGTTTTTCTGGATAACTGCCCTAAACACAATGTAACATATAACATTTTCTGTCTTTTCATATACTTAAAGTGCAAGAAGAAAATAATTCAGAATCTCAAATGGTTGAGCCTTTTAAATGAAAACTTCAGTATGCCCAGTGTTTGAGGCTTCTAGCAGGGTTATTCAAACCAAAGGCAACTCCTTTTGGAACAATATATGATTGTTTTGAATTCCAGTATTTACTTTTCTGGCCCAGTAACAACAACAGCAACAACAACAAAACCCACCAAATTTACTTATTCTCTTAAAAGGCATTGCTCCATTTAAAATATTAGAGTTGCATAAGGATGTCTTAGGTTGACACTGTTCCTTACTGTTGTCCTACTTCAACCTTTGAGGCTTAGTCCACCTACAACTGTGGCTTTCCTTTAGAAATCATTAAAATATATTCTCTGGTTAAAACCCCTGAATGATATTATAACAATAGGAATGTAATATGAGAAGTAAATACTTCTTGTTCTAGCAAAAAGGGAGGATTTAAGAAAAAAAAATATGACAAGAGAAGCTTAGTCTTACCTATAACCTTAAGTTCAGCACTGGAATAGATGAGCCCATGTTTGTTTTCTGCTATGCACTGGAACATGCCAGAATCAGTCACATTTAGGTTTGATATTGTAAGGGCACCATTTTCTATCTGTATTCTCTCCTAGGTGATAACAAAAATGTCTTGCATATAAATGTATACATCATTTGAAAAGAAAAATGAAAACCACTATTATTTCAGTCGTACACAAACCTCCTTCATTTTTCCTCAGAGGATTGTGCAATCTGACTTGAAATTTTAACTTTTCCTTATTTAAAAATTTGTGACTGATTTAACATAACAGCCACACATTAGTAATACTAATAAACACCTTTCAGTCCAAATGTCTATTGGTAAAATAAATAACAAAGAAAGAGGTATAATATTGCAGCCATTTTATTTTTCCCCGTGGCTAAAGTTGCAGACTTTAAAACATGTATCATATTTCCATGCCGTCAACTGGAAAGGTTTTCACCATTTTTTTAATCACACAAATCAAACACATTATAAATTCTGTGCATTAAAAAGAGTTCTGGCAAACACATTTATTAAGGGTTTTTAGGTAGTATGACAGGTTATATATAGAAATTGGAAGGAATATAATTGACATAGTACACAATTTTTTAAAAGAACAAAAATTACATGGCTTAAGAAAGAAAGTGATTGAGAAAATAAGTATGCATGTAAGAAGGTAACCACATAACAATTATTCTCCAGAGGCCATACCAGGTTGTCAGACAGGGAAAAGCAAATTATATTCCACATTTGATCAAAGTAAGGCCTTCCCTAATTTCAAAAGCAAAAAACAAAAACCAAAAAACAAAACAAAACAAAAGAAACAAACAAAAAAACTATACCATAGTTAGACTAAATTCACAAAATCACCTTTTCCCAATGACATTCAATGTTGAAAATATTTTCTTCTTGGCAGATTGGGTACTTGATTTTATATTTTATCCCCTTTGACACTTCTTAAGGTGCGAATGAATGCTTGCAAACTCAAGTCTACTTTGGCACTAGGTACGAGGAAGGCATTTATTTAATGTCAAATGAAGAGAGTGAGGATTAACCGGGCTCATTACCTTACCTCGAGCACAAGGGCTCCTCCATTTTTCAACCATCGGTAGGAAGGTTTGGGCTTACCACTTGCCCGGCATTCCCAAAAAAGATTGTCCTCCACTGCTAGTTCTACATCTCTTATGAGCTGAACCCAATGAGGCTTTGCTGCAATGAAAGAAAAAAAAAATCAGACCACCCAGCAAGTAAAAAATAAATGCTTTACACAAATGGATATAAACACTGTGAGCAATGGATTAATGTGAGCATAGTGGCTAAAATTACATTTAATTCCCTATTTACTAAGTGGATATGGGAAATGTTTCTAGATTTGAGGATGGATGATGCTGCAATCTGTCACTTCCTAAGCCAAACTCATTATGTTTTCTCTGTTTTCAAAATTCTGGGCACCGTATTCTATTTCCTCAGATGGGTTATTAGCAGTAGATAGTAATGCAGGTACACAAAACATACTCCTTTCCAAGTGCATTTGTGAATCATGAGGTCACAATTGATGACAACTTAATACATGAATGACAGCAGATACTAGTCTTAATTATACACTAAGAATTAACATCCGTAGAAGAGAAACTTCTATAGCTGAGGAAAAAAATACGTTCTTCAAATTAGAAATAACTTTTAATTAAATACAAACCGATGAACATCTTATGAACCTCTGTGTGAATTAAAATGAAAGCAGGGAAAGATGGATAAATTGGTTCAATTTGAATCATATGACTTATTATGAAAAAGAAGGAGCTTGTGCAACCTTAAATTATGTATGCAAATCAGCAGCACCAAATGGATTTATCATTTTCTGTTACATTTTAGAAGATATTTGGAAAATTCTCTCTACAGATGAAAGCAACATACCAGTTAAAACTAAAGCCTCTCAATATACACAATCTATTCAGCCAAGTCTCAGTTTGCATCTTAGACCCAAAACTGGGAGGTGAGATGTCTTACTGGTTTCACATTGCATTATGTATGTGATGTCTACAATGTGATTCACATGTGCATTCTCCATATGGAGAAACAGTGTATCCATTTCTATTTCATTGTAACCATGGGAAGATTTGTCTTTGCATTTCTATCTCATAAAATTGCTTTTTTTTAATCAAAGAAATTGAAATGAAAATACACCTATTTAGCTCTTAGAGAAAACATACTGGTCTGCATTTTACCTTATTATTATTATTAGTAGTATTATTATTAGTATTAGTATTAAATAAATGACTTTCCCAGTCTGAAGTGTAGTTCAGTGCAAAATCACTTCACTCTATTTATACTAAAGCATATTTTTCTTCTTTCAGGAATTACAAGCATTTTTTGGGAAAAGACCACAAAGAGACTCACACATGAGCCCTTGACTGAGATTCAAGTTTCTAGCAAAAAAATTGCACTGGCTTCTCAATACTACTGTTCTTCTTCTCCAAATGGGAGGATAATTTGCTGGACTGAAGCCAATTCTGAGATTACAACTGCCATGTTAATGGTGATTTTCCCCCCTTATTCTATCATATTAAATCCAAATATTCTATCCGGCCATTTTTTACGTGAAATATTAGAGTGGATAACCAGAGAACTTCATGGCACGGATTGAATACACTACTCTTAAGCCAGAAGTGTAGAGTAACTTTCATCAAACACCCCATCTCATTAATTTCTGATATATTTCTCAGGAATATATCATATTACCTACCCAATGGACTAGAGCAGGATTCTACCTTCTCTAGTCAGTAGAGTGGATGATGTCGGTTACCTGGTGTGCATCTATTTCCTCCTTTCTTTATTTATAAAATAACCCCCATTTCTCACTGAACTATCCTCTCTTCCATTGCCTCACACTGTCCATAAAATTCAGGAACATCTGACCATATTCCCTGTTCCAAACAGAGGCCCTTAAGTTGTTTTAAGCCAATTCTCCTTGCTAAGGATTGGTTGAGGAATGAACTTTTGGGCAATGAGATTTGAAACCAGATTTGCACAATGTTCTGGAGACAGTAAGGATGAACAAGATTGATCCTGTGGTTACTGCGGGCAGACATTGTGTGACTATACTGGAGAGCAACATGCAGAGAAAGGGAAAAGACAGATAAGAGCAGAAACAAATCATAGAGAAACTGAGCAAGGGCCTGATTATATGGTACATGAACACTAGGTTAGCTTTGGATTTCTTGCCCCATGAGGCATATAATTGTTTATTTAGGTAGGGCTGCTGTTCCAGATAGCTCAAACATTGCTGCTGAAACATTACAACAGTTGGAATATTCGAGTTTTCTTTTTTTTTTTAATGTTTATTTATTTATTGTGTATGTGTGTGTGAGAGAGAGAGAGAGAGGAAGGGCAGAGAGAGAAAGGGGGAGAAAGTGAATCCCAAGCAGGTTCCCTGCTGTCAGCACAGAGCCCCTTGTGGGACTCAAACTCATGAACCAGGAGATCACGACCTAAGCTGAAACCAAGAGTCATATGCTCAACTGACTGAGCCACGCAGGTGTTCTGATTTTGTGTTTTCTTGTAATGGTCACCTCTTACCCTGGGTCAGGTAATGGTTTCTCAGAAAGGAGTAAGTAAGCTTCTTCTCTGAAGCTCTCTTATATGAGAAAAAAGGACTTGCTGTGAGTGATCTGTACAGCCCCATGGCTTAAGTGTTCATCAACCCACCTTTACATCATCCCACCAGCATGTAGACCTTGACACCTGGGTAACATTAACTTGGTCCTGTGTATTCTAATCTAATCACATAGCAAGAGTTACAACTCAGAATGACTCAGAATATTAAACCAGGCCTCCATGTTGTTTCTGACAGATCCCAAAATGTTAAAATAGTTGAACAGGTGTCAGTCTACTCAGAGATAATGCAAATTTTTCTGAGGGAGGTCAGAAAAAGCCCTCTAATTTTAATATTTGTCTTTGCAAACATTTTCCTCCCTGAAACATTTACGTGTATAGCCTGTTTCCATTGCCACTGTCTAAGATAAAAAGAATACAATGCAATTTGCCTTTCACACAAGTGGTCAATTCCCACTAGTTTTACCATGTTTCTGATGATTAAATTCAAGTATATATTCATTGAGCATACATCTTTACATAAATTACATAAACTACAGGACATTTTATAAAATCATATATTTATACTTTCTAAATCATGCTTTCATCAAAAAAACCTAATGTATTTTGTAATAAAAAAGATTTGAAAACAAATTTTGGAAAAAAAAAGATAATTTAATTTTCCTACCAACAGACTCTAAATTAAGGTAATGCTATAATCCTTTCCTTACCCCAACCAAACAGTATATCAAATAAATGTCATTATGAATTAAAGGCGGCAAACAGCACAGTTACATTAGTGGAAGGGATAGGAAAACACTGAAGAACTCAAGAGTCTCAGTTCATGTGGTTTGTCAAATGCAGTAATTGCAAGTTTTCACCATCAACAGTTTCTTTCTCCTTAGTGAAGATCAGAAAGAAAGATACAAAATCACATTTTCTAGGGGAGAGGACACAGAGGAAATCGCTCCTTGATATGATTCAATGCATAAAACATTACTCATAGAAAAAAAGGATAATATTTCACTACTGTAGGAATCATTTTAAAATGCAAAAAGAAGACATCACGCTTCTGACTTCACGGCAAAATGTTACTGTTTTTAATTCCTCCTATGACAAATATTTATCGCCATTTAACAAAATGCAGGACCGAACAAGTGGACATTGGGATTCTGCCATAATTTCCCACCGCCCAACAACATTTGACAGAACAAAAGCTAAAAATCCAATTAGCCCAAAGTAGAAGCTCACCATAGTAAGTGAGACGCCCTCTGGCGACATTTCTTCCTCGTGAATTCTCAGCAACGCATTCATAGGAACCGGTATCTTCCTGTTGGAAGTTGGGGATTTCAAGCACACCATTGAATTTCCTCAGTTTAATTTTACTGGAAAAGGGCAGTCCATCACTTCTCCTCCAATTAATCTGAGGTACAGGACTAAGAAGAAAATTGTCCAGTTATTTGCTATTTTATTCTTATTTAAAGAAAATTTTTTTAATGTTTGTTATTGAGAGACAGAGAGAGATAAAGCATGAGCAGGGGAGGGGCAGAGAGAGGAGACACAGAATCCCAAGGAGGCTCCAGGCTCTGAGCTGTCAGCACAGAGCCCGACGCAGGGCTCCAACTCACAAACCGTGAGATCATGACCTGAGTGGAAGTCAGACGCTTAACCGACTGAGACACCCAGGCGCCCCATTATTTGCTACTTTAAACAGATGTCTGGATGCATGTTAGGCTTGACAAAATAAAGCTTTTGTTAGGATGGAGCAAAAAGGCACCCGTTTTCAAATGCAGAACATCTCCAATTGTTAATCACATATACCTGATACAAGGCTTAACCTCTGTTGCTATTTTAATAAAATAAATTCTACATTTTCTTGAGTTAAATCATGATTTAGAGAAAAAGCTGAACACATATCCATTGTATTAAAATACAACAAATGAACAAGCAAAAGAAAAATAACACCAATCTAGTTCACGAAATTAGGCAGGCATAGTCATTGTCTGCAAATTGCCTTTATGGTTTCAGCCTAAATTATATATGTGCATTCTCCTTATATTTTATTTTTCCTTTGCTTCTAAATGAAAGAAAATTTTAGAAAATAAATAAGGAAAAGAAGAGTCTGTCAAAAACTATCTTGATCTCTTTCAGAAAACTAATACTTCAGCACCCTGTAGTAAATGTTATAAAACTTACTTTCCAAGAGCAAAACATTCCAATTTCACAGTTGCACCTTTAGCCACTGGAAGAGTTTCTGGAAACTGCACTTCTATTTTTGGTTCATATTCACCCATCACACCTGTAAATCCACCATATAAAGTTAATAGTTTCAATGTTTCCTGTGGAACTGTCCCATTTTTCTTAAATAAAACTTTCTTTTTATCCATTTTGAACCAGTTTCTCTAATGATTTAAATTACTCACTAGCCATTCATTAGGAACTTTTAAAAGCAGAGCTAAGTGGGCCAAACACACAACATTATTAAACATCAGGGACCTTGGATTCCATGATTCATAAATTACCGTTTACAGAGTGGTTCCGAGAAAGCCATTATGCTTTTTACCTTGTATAAAATGGGAGGCTTTTTTATTCTGTATTTAATCTGGACATTTCTGGTCAAACTGAAATATACAATGTATTATGACTTCTTGAAATATCCTAAGGAGCAAAAATTATGGGAGGAAATTTACTTAATGGTACCCTGGTAGCAAAGAAACCAATCTTAAACTTCTTAAATGGCACCCTGGAGACAAGAAACAGTAACTTCATAAATGAGAAAGGTCAAATTCAATTATAACTGACCGGAAAGAAATGTTTAGGTAATATGTGGTCATGACATTGTGCTGTATCAGATATGGTTTTGTGTAAGTGGGGCAGTTACACAGGGTTACAAATCTGATTCCTCTAAATCTCATGTGTTCCCTTGAAACAGCCATGAAGGGGTAGAGAAAACACATTTATTTTCTTTTCAGCTTTACTAAGGTATGATTAGCAAACAGAGATTATATATATTTAGGCTGCATGTACAACCTGATATTTTTTACTATGTACAATGTGATGATTTAATATACATATACATTGTTAAATGATTATCTCAAATCAAGTTAACACATCTAGCACCTCACACAGATACCATTTTTAATTTCTTAATATTCTGTGGTGACAACACCTCAGGTCTACTCTTGTAGCAGATTTCAAGAATACAATACAGTATTATTAACTATCATCACTATGCTGCTGGTGGCAGGGAAATGGGGAGAGGTTCATCAAAGAGAATGGACTTTTAGTTACAAAATGAATATGTTTCGGGAATCTAGTGCATATTTTTTTTAAAAAAATTAAGAGATGCTTTATATACTATAAAAATACATCCAGAGCTTAAAGAAGCTCATGGTGGCCAAAATCAGGACAGGTGACTTCATGACAATGTAACCTGAACCTAGGCTGGGAAAAACCTCAAGCTTAGTTGAATGCTCTCCCGTCACCATCTTGAAATTCCTAATAATTTCTGAACACTGGGTCCATCATATTTATTTTGCACTGGTCCTCGAAAACAATAAAGCTGGTCCTGGGTAAGGATTAGGTACAGGGACCTATGGTCAATGAAATGATCTTTCTTCATCACTGTACTCATATTTTTTCTTCAGCGCAAAGTGAAATAATTCTTCATGGTATACTTTTCACTTTTTCCCATTTTTTTTTGCTTGGATTCACAATATTTACATTTAGAATTGCACCTTGAAATATTTCCTACCGTCAGAACGTAGCACCAAAGGAGTTGGGGAGCCCAGCACTCTGGTGTTCGTCACCGTACTGGTCACCACACACGTGTAATTACCCACATCGGATGGCTCGACCTTGGCAATATACAGGTGGCCTGTTTCTTGAGAGACAAATCTCCGACTATCTTCTTCAACAAATGATGGATATTCATTGAAGATCCAAGCATATGATAGTTCTTATAAAATTTTGGAGAAAAGAAATCCCATCATTAAGGCAAGTTTTCCACAGTATACTAAAAATACGTACACAAAACCACCTCTATGACAAAGTAATGGTGAGTGGTTCTATCGCAGGTCATGAAGAGAGACATTTCTGTGAACTGATTCTGCAGTCAGTCTGCATTACAGTGGAGGACAGTGCTGATTAGCATCCTTGCAGGAGCAATATTACTACCATCATCATTATCGCTACTCCAGACACCTCCTGACAAGTTTCTCTGGTTTCAGTCCTTCTCCTTTTTAATTTGTATCTCCACACCGCATATTCTATGATCTTTCAAATTTACCAACCTCATCATGTCAGTTTGTGATATAACACTTACCTGCAATTCCCTGGAGCTCCTGGGAACAATGCCACATTTCTTAACCTGAATAAGAGACTCCGCATGGTTAAGCCCCTGCTTCAAGTCTGAGCCCTGGGTCTTGGCACCTGCTGTTCTGAGAGCCTGCAGTATCCTTGTTCTCTGTCCACTCCTTTGCCTCCTCCCCCCTTTTAACACTAAACCCCATTCTCCCACAACAACTTCCACATGGTTTTCAAAGGTTGGTGCCAAACATAAGGAACCACCTCTACAGAGAAGCCTTCCTTCATCCTTGTCTCATGGTAGGTTCTCCTTGATAGAGCAACGCTAAGTTTCTATCAGTTAAAACACTTACTGCTGTATATGTAATGGTCTATTTACGTAACCACCCTCCCACCACTGGGTAAACACTGATGTCAACTCTTACTCTGACTGCCCTCCCCCGCCCAATTACCAAATGAAACATCCAGAGACACTTAATAGTCCTCAATAAACAGTTATTGAGTTAATTAAGGATACAATTATGCTCCTATCTCCTCTGTAAAGTCTAATATGAGAGTTTTCTTGACTTTTAGGGTCAAGGTAAACCAACTTTCTCCCAAGAAACTAATGTTTTTTACTCTGTGATAATGAGGGTAAATAATATGATGCTGCATTGTTCTAGATGCCCATATTTTTCACAGGCAAGTTGTTACTTAAGCACAGTTACGGCAGTTGACTTTTTTGATTCCTTCTTTCCATGGTCCTATCATTTTTTATGATTTTATCAACATTATTGCAGTGGTTCATTATTGTAATGTTTTTTCAAAAGAATTTTCTGAAAACATGTAATCAAAATCAATTTAGTGAATAACAAGTTCAAAATACATTCAAGGCATAATTCCGGGATGAAGGATCTTTGCATTTTGTAGAAAGGGACACTAAGTCCGTTTACAAATAACAATGAGATAATGTAAAAGGGCTGGGTGAGAGTTACTCTGGGTTTCAGAGGAAGAAGAGGTGACAGTCTCTCACGACTGAAGAAGAGGTCTTCAAGGACACAACGATATTCTGACAGCAGGGATAAAAGCACTCCAAATGAAGTGAGGAGCATGTGAAAAGCAAGTCGGGGAGAGATCATGGTAAATACCTGGTGGAAATGAGACACAAGTGACTCTCTTCTGCCTTCAATGGAAATGCAAATATTTCATGATTCCAAAGGTTAGCAAGTCAATGGCATATCATGCACATGTTAAGAAACACTGATTTTTAACCTTGAATCGATCTTCACATCATGCTATATCATTTCAGTAGAGTGTTTCATAAAATTCCAATCAGTCATGTGATAGGTTGTGAACCTTAGGTTGTTTGTCAGACTTTGAAAAAAAAAAAATGGGTCTCAAACATCCACTCCACAGTTGGCCTCATGCCTACATCGATAGTGCTTTTTCTCTTACAATAGTACTAAATAGGGGCGCTGGATGGCTCAGTCTGTTGAGCTTCCGGCTTGGGCTCAGGTCATGATCTCACGGTTCATGAGATCGAGCCCCACATGGGGCTCTGTGCTGACAGCTCAGAGCCTGGAGCCTGCTTCAGATTCTGTGTCCCCCTTTCTCTCTGCCCCACCCCTGCTTGTGCTCTGTGTCTGTCTTGCAAAAATGAATAAACATAAAAAAATTAAAAAACAACAATAGTACTAAATAAACCACAGAGCTGGAGAATGCTGGCCAGGTTGGCTGAATCAGTTCTGCAATTGCTGAAATTGACTGCTGTGGAAGCCTTACTTCTTTAGGCTCTTCCTACTACTCTAAGCATCTACCACCCCATAATCCTTTAACCCCTGTAACATCACCTCATTTAAAGAAGACAAAGCCATCTCCTCTGCTTTTCAAAGTGTTCTACTCATGAAATTCATAGAATTGTCCCTCTGCCTTTTATTTCTTATTTAAATATGTCCCTTGTATCCAGGGAGTGCGAAACTTCCACTGCTCCCCAACATAATAGACCTCAGCTTGGTATTAAGGACAAGAAGTCAACCTTGTTAAACCAGTTTCTACTAAAGTAAGAATGGTTGGTGGAAAGAACTCAGATTTAGAGTTGGAAAACCGAAAATCATGTAAATTCATATAAGAAATATTATGTAGCAAGGAGAATATGATCAGTAACCAGATGCAAAATTTGGAACAACTCTAACATATGTAATTTTGACTGAAATGTTACAAGGCTACACTTGTATTATTTCTTTTAATCCCAAATCAATATCATTGACTTCAATACTGTACTATTAATATACTGTATACAGATATTGTGGTGTGATCTAGCAACAAATGACAGAAGAGAAGAAAGTCAAAATCAAAATCATTTGAAAGCTGTTCCCAAAATGAGCAAGGAGAGTTGAGGGGTGGATTGTGGTGAACATGGAGGTGTCCCACTTAGGTCTCACCTTAGGAGAACTTACTGCAGGAAACACAATTAACTGGTGGTAACCACCCATGGGCACAAGAGTGCGGGGTCTACTTCCAACTAACTGATGAACTCCACTGTGCTGATGCTTGCCCTTTCTGCCCCCACCCCCCCGCTCCCCGCCCTGGTACCAAATGTCCCCAAAGGCAACTCTGGTTGGAGATGCCCCATCAGATAATGGCCACACTGTTCTCAGAGCTGTGAGGCAGTCTGGCTTTCTTCCTATGTGACTTGTCTTTTCCTCTCATTGCTCACAGATATTGGACTTGACTCTCCCTTCCACCAATTTCTGCTCCCTCCCTGTTTATCCTCCACAGGCATTTCCTCCAGATTTTTTTTAATAACAAGTTTGATCCTCTAATCCCACCTTGGGGTTTGCTTCTCAGAAGACTTAAATGTACATGGTGTTGCCGAAACGGAGTAACAGACTCTCCTCTGTATTACCAATTGCCCCTTCCCTTAGACCTGAAGGAAATAGCCTCTTTAACTGACTTTCCTTTTCAATAACTGTCTAAGACCTTCAGGCTCTTCAAATTTACAAACTGACCTAACTGATTCTTAGTAACTACCCTCCAGACAAGCCCAGATAAATCAGCATCCCAGAGGAGAACACTGTAAGCCCATCCTGAGACCTCACCAAATAGAGAAGAAACTGTAGAACCTTCATCTCCTGAGCAGAAATCTTAAACTATCATTCTTAATTTGAGAATCCCATGGAGAAAAGCTGCTGTTTTGTAGAAATAAGTACTCCTGTATTCTCCTTTGAGAATTTGTATCATCAGGCAAATGTGAGGGTCTATCTTCGACTGGCATACTAGTAGCTCTTGAGCTACAAATGCTTTATATTTGTAAACCATCACCAAACGGACACCATGTATGTGATCTTCACATGGTCACATGGACAATATGCGCTCTGTATATTATACACTATAGAAAAATATTTTAATTTAATTTTATTGTTGAATTTTTTTTTTTTTGTTTATTCATTTTTGAGAGAGAGGGGACAGGGGCAGGGAGAGAGGGAGACATGGAAACCTAAGCAGGCTCCATGCTGAGCTGTCAGCAGAGAACTTGACGTGGGGGCTCAAACCCACAAACCAGGAGCTCATGACCTGAGCCGAAGTTGGACACAACCAACTGAGCCATCCAGTGGCCCCTAGAAAGCCATTTTAAATACTTGTCAACAATATTTCCTCCTTCTTCACATTCTAAAGTCACAGTACGTATACTTTCCAATTACAAGTGCAATAATATAGTCTACATATTGGAATACAAGGTAACCAGAATAAATTAATGGTCTTCCTCCACTATTTCTCCCAGATACATACTCAGAAAATCAAGAATAAAAACGATCTTTGGTGAACAGCACAAAAATGTAACTGTAAGGTTGTGAGCTGGGATAAACAGGAGAAATGGGAAAGTGGGAAGAAGAGCCACTCAAGGTATGGAAGAGGCTGTACTGGAAATCACTTGTGAGACTCAGGCAGGTAACCTAGAAGTGAACGGCCAAAGGGTGGATGAGACCTTTAAAGATACGCTTACCAGAGGGTTTGGGACTAACAATGGCAAGATGGGCAGAATAATGCTGCCCAGAATATGTTAACACCCGAATCCCTGAAATCTTGAACATGTTACTTGACATGGTTAGAGGAACAGTATAGGTGTGACTAAATTAAGGACACTGAGATGAGAATGTTATCTTGGATTATCAGGGGTGGGGAGAATGTAATCACTAGAGTCCTTGTCAGAGGGAAGCAGCAGGGTCAGAGAAGAGGAACTATGACCTCAGAAGCAGGGGTCTTACCCAGAGAGAGCCATTTGAGGATGCTGCTATGCTCTTGATCTGAAGATGGAAGAAGTAGCCACGAGTCAAGGAAAACAGGTGGCTTCCAGAAGCTGGAAAAGGCAAGGCAATGGATTCTCCCCCCGGAACCTTCAGAGCCTTCAGCAGCCCTGTCGACATCTGGCACCTGATTGTAGCTCAGTGACACCTGTATTGGACTTGTGACTTACAGAACTGTAAGACAGTAAATCTGTGGTGTTTTAAGTCACCGCATTTGTGGTAATTCGTCACATGAGCAAAAGGAAACTAACAGAAATAACGATCATAGCTAACAAAGAGGTGTTTATTAAGTCCAGGTGCAGTGCTATGTGATAGACACAAAACTTCCAAAGAAAAACAAATAATCAGAGACAAAAAAGTGGAGAAATCC